TATTCTGGGTGAAGCTAAATCACTGACCAAATCTATAAAGCTGGAAATGAGTATTAACCATGAGATTACCAGGTAAACTAATCTTCACACTGAATGTCAATGTCCCTATACAGCTGGAGACAGAACAGAAACAGTGAGAAGTCTATTTGGGGAGCACATAGAAATTTTAATTGGAGTTGAACAAGAGTGGAAAAGGTTTCTCAGAAACTGAATGACAAGAAAGGGAGAACCGAGAGCAGAGAACAATGTTTGGGTCTGAGGGCACGTCCAGTCAGCGAGGGCACTGAACACATCAGGTCGCCTTCCAAACATCCATTGCGCCTCTTTCTCCTTCCTGACAGATCCTGATTACATTCGGGTGTTCACTCTCCTCAGATGACCCATTCAGTTTAGAGGAATCTGACCCTTTTCCGGCTCCAGGGTGACAAGAGATTTTCACATATTGAGGTATGTGGGGTAACTATTCGGGTTCAAAACTGATTTGGCTTGAACCAAAAAGCTTGACTTATGGCCTATCAAACATACATTGTACATCTGCTTTAACCATTGAAGTAAAGAATGCACTCTCTTAGGACAAGAATGCACACTTCCCCTCCTATGCCCTACCGGTAATGCGCAGGGATTAGTCCCTTTCCCGACACCAGTGTCATGTTGATCTGCTGATTTGCAACTGAACACCTCTTTGAAGCTTGGATGAATATGTATCCTGGGCATGTTTAATGCATGTTCTTTGTTCTAAAAAGATATAAGACTGTACTGAAAACCATTTTTCTCCAAAATGCTTTCTAAGGCCTTTCCGTGTTATAATCCTCACTCTGGCCCAAGTAAAATTCACCTTATTTCTCTTACCTATAGACTAGCTATTGGTTATTTTGTGTTGACAAGGGTTAATCTGTTATTTTAAGGAAAATCTCACAGCCCATTACCACTAATTCACGTAGAGTGGAAATGTGACTTAAATTGGCTCAATTGGACTGAAGGGAGATTTGTGTTCCCTGCTTGATGGAGAAGCCATGTTTTCTCCTGCTGGACTCAGGAGCCGCCTCAGATTCCCTTGCAACTGTCAGTGCCTATGAGACACGATTATGACCAATAGGACGGGATCTGCCAGGAGGTTTCTAGAAGGCCATTTAGGGCTGATGTGGTGGCTCAACAATGTTATGAAGCCCCGAAACACTTTCCAACCCTCTATTCCAGTTGCTGCTGGCTGCCATCTTGTAGTAAGCCAGCACAAGGACAAAGCTGACCAAGGAGGAAGTGCAGAGCCAAGAAAATCTTCCCCCGATGACATTACCCCTGAAGTCTGCCCTGCTGTAGGCTTCCTTCACATGAGTCAATCACATTCCTTATTGTTTAAGCTAGGTTCCAGTTGCATTTCTGTTACTTGAACTTGAAAGCATCCTAAAAGCATAAATGCTAAAAGTAGAAAAATAAATTCTCAAAGAGACCAAGAAAAAAAGATTAGGTGGTAGGAAAATCAAAAGAGCTCAGTGTGACACCATCTGAGATAGGATGGAATTTTACAAAGGAAAGAATCACTGACAGTGCAAAATTTATCAGAGTAGATCTATCAAGGAAGATGTTTTTCCTGTACTAGTTCTGCTTTGGATACAGACCCTCTTTATTTATTTATTTATTTTTAAGATTTTATTTATTTATTTATTTATTTTCCCCCCAAAGCCGCAGTAGATAGTTGTATGTCATAGGTGCACATCCTTCTAGTTGCTGTATGTGGGACGTGGCCTCAGCATGGCCGGAGAAGCGGTGCATCGGTGCGCGCCCGGGATCCGAACCCAGGCCGCCAGCAGCAGAGCTCGCACACTTAACCCCTAAGCCACGGGGCCGGCCCTACAGACCCTCTTTAAATCAATCTGCATTCACTGTCACCAAACTATGGTTTTCTGATCTATAAAATATTCAAAGGCTAACTGATGACAGTCCACAATTGGATTATGGTGATTATTGAGTGTGCTTTTGCAATGAAATACAGAATAAACATGGTCAAGTAATACTTTAACGTAAGCACGTTAAAACCACATTGAAACTTTTCTTTTCCCCAAGTACACCAAATTAATCCGTGAGGTCTTGTAAGTCTTATTCAAGATTTTCTTTAATGAAAAATTATGAAAAATGTAAAATATATACCTAAAGGTAGAGAGAACAGTATAAGAAACCTCCATATATCCATCACTTAGATTCCAAAATTATCAATATTTTATTACTCTGGCTTTTCCTTTCTTGCCTAATGAGTGAATGTAGCTATATTGCCTGGTGGTAAAAATAGCCCACTGGTTCTGCACCTGTGTGACCTTACCCTATCTGAATGAGAGTGGACCAAGGGGGAGATATTTGCTAGACTAGTATTGCTGCCTGCAATGTAGAGCAGCACTGTGGCTAAACCTAATGTCCTTTCCAAAGGTGGAAAAGTTTGGGTATAAATGAAGAAAAGGAGGAATAGTAGCTGAGAGTAAGGGAATGAATAAATAAACTAACGAGGGAAATCCAATATTATATCAACACCTCAAAAGAGGCTCAGGGCAAGAGATGATATTGTCTCTTAGCTCACTTATACCAGCTGTCTGAAAGGGTGAAGCTATATGTTGCTAAGACCACTCCTGCTTTTGCAACCCAACAAAATCTAATGGAGGCCTGCCAACATGAGTGGCCTTGCCCTGGGAGGTATTTTCATATGATATGATGATGGACTGGGCTAGTTATTAACGACTGAATGCTACTCTAGTAACGTGCCAGTGTCTATTAACTATTATGTTCCTTTTGTTATAAGGGATCTGTGGTCAAAAACCAGGGGTGGCCTGTGGTAATATAAGAAATATACTCGGTCTTTGTCAGCAGTTCCTGGCACAAACCTCCTAAAATCCATGAAATTTCCTGAATAACAGGAGTGTCTTTTGTCACTCATAAGGAGTCCTTTTTGAGCACACCTGAATTTATGCTAAAGAGGTGACATAGCGTGGGGCCCAAGATAACATCAGGATGGGGCTGGTCACCAGAAAGACCAAGTGACGAGAGGGCAGGAACTTTCAGCCCCACTCGCCGACCAGTGGGAAGGGGAAGTGAGTGCTGCAGATTAAGCTCTAGAAAAACTCTTGAACAACAAGATGTAACGAGCTTCTGGGTTGGTGAACGTGTCCACATGCCAGGAGGATGCTACACGCCAGTTCCATGAGGACAGACGCTCCTGTGCTAGAGATCTTTCCAGAACTCACCCTATGTACTTCTTCATCTGGCTGTTCATCTATATCCTTTACAATACCCTTTAAAGTAAACTTGCAAATGAAAGTAAATGTTCTGAGTTCTATGAGCCGCTCTAATAAATTATTTGAACCCGAGGAGAGGGTCGTGGGAACCTCAGATTTTGCAGTCAGTCAGTCAGAAGCACAGGTGACAACCTGGACTTGCTATTGGCATCTCAAGTTGGGGGCAGTCTTTGGGGCTGAGCCCTTAACCCATGGGATCTGAAGCTATCTCCAGGTTTTGTCAGAATTGAGTTAAATTTGTAGGACTGAGTCAGTGTCCACTGAGAATTGGAGAATTGTTTAGTGGTGTTAGAAAACACACATGGCAGATGTAAAATCAGTTGTTTGAAAACCAGAATACATTTTCTTATATAAGCAATGTATATACGTAGTTAGATTCTCAGGCCAGACCAGTGAGGCCCATCTAACCAATAAGATAGATGACTTCTTTTACATTTTGAGTAGAAAAGAATATTATTGAAACTATGAGTTAATCTACCTCCCATTTTATTAATGTGTCTAAGAAGAAGGAGCTTACCAAAGCAATAGTAAACTTCTGACCAGCCTATACCCAAATCATCAAGTAGACGTGCTTACAGTTTGGATTTAATCTACCAATCTTAAAGCTTCCAATGTTCTGTTTCTTTCTTAAGCCATTAAGTTGTTAGAATCACATAATTTCTCTATCCTACATATCTGACACAACATTTTCTAAAACTATATCTAATTTTTTTTATAGGTTCAGGACTAGTGTTCTCAAAGTACGGTCCAGGGACACCTGGGGGCTCCCTAGACCCTTTGAGGGGGTCTGCAAGATCAAAACTATTCTCTTAATAATACAAGGGCGTTATTTGCTCTTTTCATGCACATTTTTTCACAGGCACACAGTGTTTTCTAGAGGCTACACGACATATGATATCCCCGTTCTAATGGGTGTATTGTGAAGCAGTGGTGAGAATCCTGCTGTGTTCTATTAAGCCAGACATCAAAGAGACTTGTAAAAATAGAAAACAATGACCATCTTCTCACTTCATTTTTTTGTTATGAAAATGTAACTATTTTTAAAAAGTTATTTATATTAACATATAATGAAATTATTTTATTTTTATTTGTGTGTGTGTGTGTGTGTGAGGAAGACTGGCTCTGAGCTAACATCCATCGCCAATCCTCCTCTTTTTGCTGAGGAAGATTAGCTCTGAGCTAACACCTGTGTCCCTCTTCCCGTTCTGTATATGGGATGCCGCCACAGCATGGCTTGATGAGTGGCGTGTTGGTTCACACCCAGGATCCGAACCTACGAACCCCAGGCCACCAAAGCGGAGCAAGGGAACTTAACCACTATGCCACCAGGCTGGCCCCAAATTATTTTATTTTTAAAGGATTCATAAATAAATATTACATTTTCTTTCAGTTTTAATTTCTAATAATTATATTGATAGACATAACCCCCCCACACACACACACAAAACTCCTTGGGGTGCTCAATAAGTTTTAAGAGTGTAACGGGGTCCTAAAGCCAACATGTTTGAGAACTGCTCTTCAAGACAAATTCCTTTCTTCACCATCTAAACTAAACTTTTGGCTAATGGGATGAAAAGATTCTTTTTGCAATATTTTTTGCAAATGTCACTGGAAATAAAATCTATGTCCTCCCTGACCTTCCTTTCCATGAGAAGCATTCTCTGATTTTGAGAAGGAAATAGATGACGATTAGGTGATGACGAAGTCTAGGTTGACACCCACCTTCACTAATTCGGTGTAGCCCGTCTCCTTTGGGGTCCACCACGGCTGGGCCTTCAGTCCATGCACGTTGTACAGTGAGCGCTGCCAAACAGACGCAAAATGTCCCCTCTTGTGCCCGAGCTCGTACCACTTATATGCCTGAAAGAATACAGAAAGATTGAACTCCAAATGAAATAGTTTTATTAATTTTAAAATTAAAGTCACTAAAAATAAGGTATTACTTCATGACATTTAAATGAAGAGTTTGCTAGACAGGTGCTCAAATCTGCTATGGTGGTGAAATTAGTGTTATTTGATTAGGTTTCTGATTATGACCTACTATTATAAATAAATGTGTGTATTTTATTTTCACTGTTAGGCTGTAAGCTCTCTGAATACAGGATTGATGCAGCACTCATTTTGGTCTCCCCCTGAGTGGCCAGCACAGAGTCTAGGACTTATTTTGAGCAGAAAAATAATTTAAGACACTAATGTGGACTATATTTATATTTAGCTTTCATTTCTTAAGTTCTATTTCTATGTTGCCTTTAAAAGGAAAGGATTATGATTTTAATAATTTCTTCAAAGATATTTGCATTCACTGAATTGGAATGCTAAAATGGAGAGCAACATCATTTCACATGTACATTCCTTCTATGCCCACATTTAAGAAGGCTACCTCAAGGTGACAGAGTGTATATCCTCCATTAAATTAAGTAGACAGAGGGGAAATACTATTCTGAGTTAGCAGTAAATATAGTGATAAACCATATTAGATTTTTTTTAAAGGGAATTTTTTTTCCCTTTTGTTTTTTTCCTGCCATAAGGGATAACATTTACGGCTTTCGGCTGGCTGTAACACGATACAACTTGCCTCCAAGAAGACTAGCCTTTTCAGGGACAGCTGGCTGCAGAGTCTGCTGCTCCATATGTCTCCTTCAAATGACGCCCTGACCATATGCTCTCCTAGTGGCCCTCCCCACACGTTTCCTGCCCCGTGCACACCCCATTGTCTTTAGGACGGGAGACCATTCTAGTGATGGACTTAACAGTATCCCTTCCATTACTATAAGTCTGATCTAATGATTACTTTTGAAGAATGGTTTCAAATACACATTTTGATCAACTGAACATAGACATTTAATATCAAGCGGATTAAGAAGATATTCAAGAAGAATTCTTCATAAAACTCTAGATATAATTTAGATGTAAAAAATAATAACTTTTAAAAGTCTTTTAAAATTCCTATGTCAAAATTTCTTTCATTAGAAAATCAAGGGTGACAGCAGCACCACCTCATATTCTCGTTTGCTTTTACATGTGTAATCACATTTCATCTTTCCAAGATCCCCAAATATCTCCACTTTACAAATGTTGAAACTGAGGTTTAAAAAGGCTATAACCCAGGCCCCAGTCAACTTGTACCACTCTCCTTTCATCTTTGTAGCATTAAAAAATAAATTACCAAAAGTGATCATCTTATTTAATTATCTTTCTCAATAATATCTCAATTAAGAACATATACACTGGGGCTGGCCCCGTGGCTTAGCGGTTAAGTGCACGCGCTCCACTACTGGCGGCCCGGGTTCAGATCCCGGGCGCGCAGCGACGCACTGTTTGTCTGGCCATACTGAGGTGCCGTCCCACATACAGCAACTAGAAGGATGTGCAACTATGACATACAACCATCTACTGGGGCTTTGGGGAGAAAAAGGGAAAAAAAGGAGGAGGATTGGCAATAGATGCTAGCTCAGGACTAGTCTTCCTCAGCAAAAAGAGGAAGACTGGCATGGATGTTAGCTCAGGGCTGATCTTCCTCACAAAAAAAAAAAAAAAAGATGAACTTAAAAAAAAAGGAACGCATACACTATTAAAAAAAAAGGAACGCATACACTATTTACTGTTATATGGTTTCCTTGAAATACATGTAAGTGGGAGCCATAAAGTAGTTTCTTTAAAAACCAACTTCTTTAAAAGCAACTTAAAATGGCTAATTATTGTCTGATTTTAAAAATATAGCATTTTACCTTTGAAATTAATTTTACTTTTACTTATTTTTGTCCAATTTAAATTTAGGATTTTATTTCCTACACTTTTCAGTGTTAAAGTGAACAATAATATTAATTACCACAGGTGATTTTTTTGAAACTCTTACAGTCCATTTTTGAGTCATCAGCAATTCATTTTAAGGATTAGATATATTGTTAGAATAGTGAGAAAAAAATTATTACTATAGGAAAATCAAAACAGCAAACCTCATAGCTCTAGTTCAGGACTTAGAAGTCTTAGATTTTAGTCCTGGCCTTAACATTCACCATGGTGGATGCCTGGGCAAGTGACTTGGCTTACAATGGCATGTTTAAACTATCTGTAAGGTTTTTTCCAACACTTCAAGTTAGTACTAGCGTATCAAACAGGACCCTTAATTTTATACTCCTCTGTCATTTAACTTTTAGAGAAACAAAATCATGACAATGATATATCAGGAATTTTTAAAAATCATCTTCAATGATATCTCCAATTATACAGGGGACCCAATGAATTCAGCCAGATTGCCTTTTTTTTTTTTTTACATCTAAACTACCTTACAATAAAAATTGCTAGAAAAATCAATTATCAACTTAGAATCCTCTGAAAATTTCCTCTTTACTCTTTCCTTTTTATACTTCTAATCAGGCATACTAAAATAGACAGAAAGGACACCTAGGGTACCTTCTTAAATACATTTTATATTAATGTCTACTATACTTCAAATTATTGCCAGGTATGGTACAGACACACACACACACACACACACTCATCACACAGAAACTGTGTTGAAAGATTCCAACTCAGAAAAGCCAGGCCCCATGTGGGGAACATGCCCATCACACATGGCCCCAGCTGGAGCCCGTTCTACCTGGAGCATGGTGCACAGTGGCCCACGGGAGACACACTTGTGAGAACGGTTGGCTGCAAATGGCCTGTGGAGGATTGTGAATGCCGTGGCTTGGAAATAGACCTTTATTTTTATTTTGCACTGTGGGGTTTTTGAGCATAGGAAGGCCTGGAAGTAAGTAAGACTAAAGCGAGAAGCAACAGCCAGGTTCTCAGAGCCATCGCTGAAGTGGACGGTAACAAATGACAACACTGACCAAACAAGAGGGAAGGTGAGATGGACGCCAAGGACCCGCGGAAGCTGACTTCCCAGAATGGGGCCTGACTAGACTGGAGTGAGGAGGTGGGCCTGCTGAAGGATAGGGAAGAAATTCAAGTTCTGATCCTGGGAAGCTGGCAATATCATCAAAGGAGAGACAGAACCCAGAAGAAAACAGGTTTAGAGGAAGACAAGTGAGTTGTCTCTGTGACATCGTGTGGTCACACTAAGCAGGCAGTAGACATATGCATCCGAACTCTGAGTAGGAGATGAGAGCTGGAATGTGAATTTGAGAGTTACAGAAATATTGGGAACAGCGGAGGCTACAGGACTATCCTGGTCTGTCTTCCCCTCTCTTCCTGTCCATATGAAACAAACTTGTCAGAAAAATCTTCCTCAAAAACAATTTTATCATCAGCTTTGGTGACTGGAGCAGAGCTCCACGCATAAGAACAAGAAGGATGGTTGCTTCCCAATATGCAAACTCAGAGCATCAGAGTCATCAACTCACAGATTCACCACCTAATATTGAGAATATACTAAGATGGGGTGTCTACAAGCTTGTTTTTGTTCTCCTATAAGGATGAATCCTTGTGAACTTTTTAAATTCAAGACTGCGCTGTTCTTTGCATATTAATGATAATTAAGCTGATAGAACAGTCCCATAGGTTCAAATCCCAAGCCCTTAACAAGTGTTTAGTAGTGAATTCTTTGCCCTTGAAGTAGGGGCTGTTTTCATCTAAAATGTGATAATAAATCAGACTTCTTTTATCTGTCTTTGCCCTGGACCCTGAGATGTTCAAAGATAAATTAATTAGTGACAATTACATTTACAGCAATCAGATATCAACATTTATCCAGTGTTAGATACTGTAACAAAATCATTCTTATCCCTCTCATTCAAAAGAGGTACCAGACATTACATTTAAAAGAATGAAGGAACACAAACGTGATACTGATCAGCAATTTCTTCTCTCTTCTTTCTCTTCACCTCTCATATCTCATTCTATTTCAGTTGACTGACTGGTAGGTTAGAGGGGGAAAGGTATAGAGACATAGAAATATGTAGAGAAAACAGTGTCAATTATCCAAATCTCTATTACCCCAAATTGGCTCACCTCTCCAGCTGGCAATTACCCCATCACAAAACCCCTTGCTCCAATGAACCCTCAATCATCCAAATGGTCCCATGTTATTAGTAATTTTAGAAACCTAAGCTGTGTTCTCCTTAGAGGTCACTTTATCACATTTACGGAAGGCAGTGGTTACAAAGGTTCAGTGTCTCACTTCACCCTTTTATCCCCGACCCAAAGGAGAGCCCAGGCCAGAACCCTATGATGGTGTAGGACAGGAAAGGTGAGTTTCACTGCCCACTAACGTCCCGTAAATCATGGTGGACTGGGAGGGTTTTGGAACTTACAGTATATGATGTCATGATTAACGATCTAATGTTATGTTTAAAGAAGCTGACATTATACTCAGAAAAAAGTAATAATCACAAAGAAAACATGTATCTTGTTTTAGCTACTACATTTTCTGTGTCAGTAGCTGTCATGACTATAGTTACAGGTGTTTATCTTAAACTTGGTATTAAATATTTCAGAAGGTAATTGACACAATTAACTACTGGATTCAGTGTGCTTAGGAACCAGTTGAATAACAGCTTCATTCTAAAAATAACTACTTTTTAAATTCCAAAATAAAATAAAAATAAATCTAGGCAAACTGTTAAAATATTTTTTTAAATACTTAGACAATTTCAGAGATCTTCTTCATTTCATAATTTTAAAAATATTTTTCCAAGGCAACGTTCGTCTCTGTCTCTCTATATATACACACATGCGCACACACAGACACACACATACAGATACATAAACACACACTAATTTAGAGGCTGCTCCTATGAATACTCAGCTACTTTCTTGAAAGAAACTATAAGTCAAACCCCAAAAATTCTTTATAGGATTAAACAGGAGTTGTTGGATTGTTTCAAAAAATAATTTAAATAGTGAAATAGTTTCAATCACCACCTTCAAAAGTTTATGCTCAAAAAAATTTTTCAATTGTAAATTTCTCCTAGAATTAATTCCCCTCCACTCTATCCTCTGTTAAAGAGAACAAAAGTCCACAAATCCATTACCTCTTTGTTCCCAACCCTCTGCATGGCATCCCCCAGGTGGAAATAAAATCGCCCGTCATCAGTGCCAGGATCCCCAGATTCTATTCCTTCCTGCAGAAAAGATAGTGTTTGTATTTATGAAAGAATTAAATACCAGATTTAATTCACTGGTTTACTTAATCTTTACACACCACATGAAAATCTGAGAACCAGAAAAATTCATCTCCATATTGAAGTTTGGCAATTAGGTTACTGGTCAACATTTACAATGCAAAACCAAAAAGAGGTGATAAAGCTAAATTTAACAATACATTCATCATTAATTAACATTGAAACAGCCCATTAGTATGATGCTGTGTGAATTGTCTCTAAGGGAGCAATCATATTTCAACATCCCAAAGAATTTCTCTGCCTATCCATCACATTTATTTTGCTCTCCAAATCTGACCATATGTCATCCAGAGGCTTTTTTATTCCTGAACCACAATGTTCAGTTGGTCACAGATGTTTGAATTGATAGAGACTCAACTGCAAGTAATATTTTTTTCCCACTCAAAATAAATGCATCCTTGTCTTTTAATGAAATCTTTTACAAAATGTACAATAGGATTAAAGTCAATTGGAATTTTTAAAAATGTAACTGTTGAGGGGCTGGCCCGGTGGCGCAAGCGGTTAAGTGCGTGTGCTCTGCTGCGGCAGCCAGGGGTTCACCGGTTCAGATCCCGGGGGCGCACTGATGCACTGCTTGGCAAGCCATGCTATGGTGGCATCCCATACAAAGTGGAGGAAGATGGGCATGGATGTTAGCACAGGGCCTGTCTTCCTCAGCAAAAAGAGGAGGATTTTGGCAGATGTTAGCAAAGGGCTGATCTTCCTCACACACAAAAATATATGTAACTGTTGGGGCTGGCCTGGCAGCAAAGCGGTTAAGTTCTCATGCTCTGCTTTGGTGGCCCAGGGTTCACAGGTTTGGAACCCGGGCTGAGATCTACGCACCACTTATCCAGCCATGCTGTGGCAGGCGTCCCACATATAAAGTAGAGGAAGATGGGCATGGATGTTAGCCCAGGGCCAATCTTCCTCAGCAAAAAAGAGGAGGATTGGCAACAGATGTTAGCTCAGGGCTAATCTTCCTCAAAAAAAAAAAAGTAACTGTTATTAAACAAATCCTACTCTAAAACACTTAGCTGATTTCTCCCCCATCTCCCACATAAGGACTGAATGGAGATTTATGTAAAAAAAAACCAGAGAAAATATAAAAAAGAATGAGTTCAGAAAAGTGAAAGGACAAAGGAAAAAAAAAATTTAAATGTCAAGGAATTTTTTCTAAAAATCTGCATCTTTGAGGCCTCTTCATAAGAAGCCCATTATCTTTTACTGAGAAGAAATGTTATTTGCATAATGTTGGGACATAGCAGCAAGGAACAGGAGAAGCACCGCTCAGGAGAGAAGGAGAGCTATGATCAGGGCCCCTGACTGACAGACACTCAAATAAATGTCCTTGCTCTTAACCAACCCCGCCCTCCGTCTCCCCATCTCTGAGGCAGGGAGATATTACTAGGCCCTTATTACGACAAAGGAAATCTAAGGGGACACTTTAAAGCAGAGGAACCCACATGCCCACAGGGTCCTGGCGGGGAATGTAAAGGACTGCAGAGGCCCAGTGCAGCCGAGACAGACGGGGTGCACGGCTGCCTCAAGCAGACACCGTGCTCAGTGCCTGTGCTGGGATGTGGGCCAGATAAGACCTTTCCTGCGAAACCAGAAATCTGCATGACTATATAAAATGTTCATTTCCTCAACTAAGGCAAGCAATTAAAATTGTTTTTAGTAGAATTATGTTGGACAAATAAAACATGCAAGCTATCTGCAATCAGTGGGTTGCTATTTGGGATCTCTGATGTAAGTCATGTGAAAGAAAGAGATCATAAAAGTGTAATATACTGCTACTTTAAAAAAAGTCCACAGGTTTCCCATCAGCCATCTGTCTAATAAGGTAGCTGCTAGCTAATGTTACCACATAAATTAAAATCAATTAAAATTAAAAATTCTGTTCCTCAGTCACACTAGCCCCATTTCAGGTGCTCAATAGCCACACGTGGTTAGTGGCTACCGTATTGGAGAGTATAAACACAGAACATTTCCATTGTGGCAGAAAGTTCTGTTGGACAGCCCTGAGCTAGACAAAACATGATTCTGGTGAACTGACAAGGATTCAACTAGATACGAGGGAAAAAAAGGACAGCATATTTTAATCTAAATATTTTGAGCTATCAGGTTTTTTGGGGTTTCACCTCTTCGTCTGCATTTGTCACATCACTTTGTAGAGGTTGCCGTGAGCCCTGTTCAAACAGTCTCAATGTATAATTAAATTGTAAAAGGAACATTTAATGCATTGCCCATATTTTAAAATATTATATCAATAATTTCTGTCTACCTTTGACATTTAAATAAAAACCAGTAACAACTGCAGTTTTAGGAATTTCTTAATAAAGTCTTTTCCAAGCAGTCTCTGCTCACATATTTGGTGTTTCTACATCCGACACTCAATTACAGTGAAGGTCCACTCTGCCTAGGAAGATCACGGTCAGAGGGGGTACATTCTGTTGATGAAAAGACTCAGCAGTGCATGCCAATCAATCTACAATGTATCATCAAGGGCGTCCAAGTGACTCAAAGGAATGGGAAGAAGGAAAAAGAGGAGGGGCAGGGGCAGTTACCTTTAAATAGGGAATGCTCTCAGCAATCTTGTTCCGCGCCTTCAGGATAAAGCCGTAATGCACTTTAGCAAAGCCGTCATTAGGTGTCACATTCAGAATCTAAACTCCAAGAAAACAAAAAGCTACTGTGACTGACTACAAATTCTACAAATGACTATCAGAACAAATGTTAATTAGCTCTGCTGCACTTGGACTGGATTATGATGCTACAGCTTACAACACTACAGTGATTTACTCATTGCAATATACTACGCTTAAATTCATGGCCCCACTTTCCCTCAGCTCACAATGTTCGCACATCTACACGTCAGTTCCTCAAGAATGAAGAAATGAATGAAAAGGCAATGACTACTAAAGCATTGCTTTAACAATGCAAATCAGCAAAATATCTGTCAATTGATAGGACTTCAACATTTTTTTACTGATCTGGAAAAAACTGCTTTAAATTTGCTATACTTGAAGTCAACTCTGAATGGTTATTATACATTTCTTTAAATACATGCTTTATACACTGTCTTAATTAAGAGAAAATTTAGATTTGCATTTGTAATATACCATGAGTCATTCATTCAACATAAATTTCTTGACTGCCCAGACCATTTTAAGGACTGAGGATAAAGCAGTGAGCAAATCCAATACTCTGTGATAAAACCCAGGTAAATATTTAATATAAACCAAATCACTGTTTACTATCATATGCATTTATTATGATTAAAGGTAAATTATGCAAAATGCCGATAAATTAAATATTAGCACTGAGAAATCAAAACAATAACAGTCAACTTGTGAAGCTGCTTAGACAAACTAATTTACAGAACAAAAGTGAAAGGTGAAGAAGGCTTGAGTTGGGTGCATGTAGAGAAAAGATGAACATCCTGTAGCTGCCCTTCATCCTTGCACTTGAGTGGGAAGGGAGGGTCAGAGCCACGGTGGGTTCCTTACACAGAAGGAGTAAGTGCACCAGGAAAGGGGACCCCACGCCCTTCGTGAGTTCACACTACACACTGCCAATACTTGAGCGTTTTCCATCTTGTAGTTGCTTGTGCACCTCATCCATTAGCAAATCCAGCCAACACTACCTTCAAAATATACTCAGAATCCTACCCCTTGTCATTTCCTTCACCGCGGCTCCAAGTCTAGCATCTCTCCCCCACCTTCTTACAGGAGCCTCCTAACTGCCAACCCTTGCCTCCCAGCCCCCTCTGCACTCCCAGCCCCTCTCTCCTGTAACCCCTTCTCCCACTGGGGCCCTGAATGGACTCACCAAATCCTAGGTCAGATTTCATCCCTCCTCTGTCCAAAACCCAAATGGGTTCCATTTCATGAAGAGTAAAAGACCAAGTTCTAGGAACAGCCTCCATGGCCTCCCTTAACCTGAGCCTCTCTACTTTTCTGGCCTCCTCTCCTAACTGCCTCCCACCAGCCACTCTGAGGCACCCTGGACTCCTTGCTGCCATGTGGCAAACCAAAGGCACCCCCGCCTCAGGACATTTGCACTTGCAGTACTCCTTTGCCTCAAACACTCTTCCCTTAGACAACCAAATGGCTCACTCCCTTCTTTGATGAAGTCCTTGCTCAAAAGTTACCATCTCAGTGAAGCCTGTGCCCAACCACCCCCATCACTAGTCTTTATCCTGACTCCTTTTTCTTCACAGCATGCATCACCATCTGACTGATTATATTTTCATTTCTCCCACTAAGAAGCAAGCTCCACAGGGATCTTGTCTGTTGCACTCACTGCTGATCCCCAGTGCTCCGAACAGTGCCCAGCACACAGCAGGTGGTCCAGCAATCTGCACTAACTGAATGACGGGTGCAGGCCGGGCTTTCCTGCCTAACTGGATCTCTGAAAGCATAGCCCCTGCTGCTTCTGCACCTTCCACAGCACTTGTTACTGAGCTAGATACTGAGCAAGAGCTCACTAAACCCTTCTGGAACTGAACTGAATTGGGGCTGATCATGCTTCTGACAGCATAACTATGAAGGGATTATTACAACTATTGCAGCTACTGGAGACACACAGCCATGATCTCAAGTAATTAGCAAATGTATTCATTTATGGTATTTTAGAACACAGAACTCTTCTAGGCTCTGGACATATAAACATAAATGAGAGATACTTTCTTTTCTCAGGGAGCTCTCAGTCAAGGGAGGAAGAGAGATTCACAAGCACACAATGGTAATGCAAGGCAGTAAGTGTAACCACAGCGATAGACACGAAGCATGCAGGGGGTATGGAGGACAGGCACTTGCTTATTCTAAGTGGGTGTGGCAGGGACAAAGTTGGAAAGGTGTTTAGGGATGAATAGGAGTTCACTAGGGAAAGAGAAGATGGGGAATAGGCAGGGAAGAGGCACTCAAGGCATAGGAGAAAAGGAGTAAAAAGGAACAGTGGGCCAGGAACAGTAAAAAGGAATGGGACTGGAGATGAGGGCAGGAGGCAAATCACAACAGGTCCTGTTTAGAATTACATGCAAAATAATCCTCCAGGGAGTAGAAAAAAATTAAAAATGCTTCTACTTGTATTTGTCTTTGAAATATAATATTTAGCATGCAGCAGGCTCCAGGGCTCTCCTCTCATCTGCATGGCAGACAGTCACACATCCCATTCATACCCGTGCTATCGTGAGGGGAGGGTGGGCGATCAGGCCCCAGAGCTACCAACAGTGCTGCCCTCCCTGTTTGATTCTTATGATCACCTGCTGTGCTCACTATAGTTCACACATGGATGCAGAATGGACGTGCAGGTGTATTTAGCTGTAATCAACAAACCTCACAAAACGAGTGGCTTCATACGATTTCTAAGAAACCCAGATTGAGACTAATATTAATAATATTACATAGATTCTCTCTCTTTCTTTACACAAACACACACGACACAGACATCAAAAACCTGGTAGAGCTGACATCTCTAGCCCAGCACAAACTCTTTGCATGACACATTACCAGGGTAAAAAAATCATGTGATATAACCATAAATAGTATTGCATATCGATATTACTAAAATATTAATTTTTCAGTGAGAATGAAAAGAATTTTTGGCGGTTAAATGAAATTTAAAAAGCATTTGAAATACTTCATTTCATCTTAAAACTTATCTGGGGTGTGTACCTTTTGTAATATATATCACATATTAGTACACACGCATATATACATAATATATAAATACATAAACATACATATCACAGGTATTTGCTTGAAAATTTTTTACTGGAAGGGTTTGCGTGTGAAGACCACTGCTGCGGGCAACGGCAACCACTGAAGAGTTCAAGCCGAGGGTGGCATGGTCAGATTTGTGTTTTGTGTTGACGAAGGTCAGAGAAGAGGAGGCTTGGACAGGATAAAGCTGTCCTAGTTCAGAAAAGAGATGATGCGTGATGGGTTAAAATTCAGAAGGTAAAATTAAGAGAAATTAGTGATTTGGTACCAGATCATAAACTCCATGAGGGCAAAACCAGTGTTCATTTCATTAACTTCCATTTCCCAGGCTAGCATGTGTGGGTTTCAATAAGTACGTGTTGACTAAGTGAATGGATATACGTGAGGAGTGAGGGGAGGGAAGAATCAGGAATGATGCTCGACTTTTGACAGTGGGTGGCCTGGGTAACTGGTAGTGTTGCCAACGCAGAGGGAACGCAGTGTGCCTCTCAAAGCTACAGATGTGAGCAATCCACATCAAACCATTTTAAAGGCAGTTTTTGTTGAAACTAAAAGCAGCAAAAACCCACCAAGGGAACTATCAATGATTTGTATAAATTTACTCAAAAATAAAAATCAACATGAAGAAAAATATAAAATTACACTATCAGTTTTCTGAAAATGATCTTTGACTGAGACATAAACATACCAGGATAAACTTTGGTTAAGGCAAGAGAACCCATTAGATACAGCTGATTAACTGAGCAGTGACAGGAGGGAATAAAAAGCAAACCCCACACATATTTTCAGTCTATTAATGCTTCTTTAAAAAGAAACCCACTCAATTGTATACTATGGCTATATTTTAGCCTTTCTGCATTCTGTTATGCTTATTTGGATGAGATTATGATTTCAAATGTATAAATAACAGCAGGTAAATTTTATTTTTCAGGATGAAGTAAAATGTTTCACATAGCCAAGATTTAGTACCAGGTGAAAAGAATGAATATATTCAAGGCAGGTTTTGAAAAGGTGGAGGAGGACAAATTCCCAGTGGGTGAGAGAGACTGGCGCGCTTTCAGATCCTGCCCTAACTTCAAATGCGCCTGGGACCCAGTCAACACTTGATCATGTTTTTTGGAAGGAAGGAAAGAAGGAAGGAATTCTATAATTCCATCTCTGTGGCTTCTGACAGTGGCAGAATAACCAGTGTGTCTGATATAGTTTGACAATTCATACATTCATATGATCCTGAATCACTGAGATACATGTTTCCCTTAACCAAACTTTGCAAGACAGGGCACTCAGCATAATGTTTTAGCCATTAGTAAATACAATGCCCCACATGGACTTATTTTATGACCTGGAACAGGTACTTTAGTACATGGCACACATTTCCAATATTGTAGGTTCGATCCACTCTGTGTAGATATTAGAGATGCTATAAACAGCAAAGGTCTTATTTCTGTTCTCTCTGAGAAAATATAGGGGCCGGCCCAGGGGTACAAGCGGTTAAGTCAGTGTGCTCCGCTTTGGCAGCCCGGGGTTCACAGGATCCCGGGTGCGCACCGACGCCCCGCTTATCAAGCCATGCTGTGGCAGGGTCCCATATGAAGTAGAGGAAGATGGGCACGGACGTTAGACCAGGGCCAATCTTCCTCAGCAAAAAGAGGATTGGCAACAGATGTTAGCTCAGGGCTGACCTTCCTCACAAAAAAAAAAAAAAAGAAAATGTAAAAATTATGACAAGGATGAAAAGACAACTGCTTCAAAATTCAATGATTTTCAATTAAGTATCAACAGCAACAAAGGGAGGAAAGCATCACTTTGTGAGTAGACCAGTCCTTAGACTGAGCAGGAAATCTCTATACTTGACAGCATTTTTAAAACAGAAGGAATCATATTGGCTATTACTGAGTAGTAGTATTTCGATGTAAGGTGCACCAGCTTGAAAACCACTGACCAAAAGGCCTAAATTAAAGAATAACAAGTAAATGTATTCATCTTTCTGTTATAGAGGCATTAACTTTCTCCAGCTACTAAGTTCATTTGGTATCCTGTTTGTTCTATACGAAATGAATACCCTCATTGCTTGCAGGAGTCACAGTTCTCTAGATTTTATAGTTACTTGAGACTTAGAGGTTATTTATTAAAACACTCATTATAAGGTAGAAATCCTTTAAAGGCATCCTTGCTAGAGGATTGAAGAGTTAACGACCTCTGAAAGGTAATTTACTCCATATGCCCAAAAGATTCAGGTCTTGTAGTCTTTCTCTAGACCTGATTTTTCGTGAAAAAAGGAAAAGATTGTCTGTTTTTACATTCATGGAAAACTTGAGTTCCTCTTTCTATCATAAAGAACACTTTTAGAAAGGCTATTTGTGGACTGATAAATATAAAGCGTTAAAAATATCAATTATAAAGGTTTTGATGGTTAAAGTTTTCATGTACCATGTGTTAACTAAAATTTAAAATCTGATTGAGAAAAAAGGGGATGAAAACAAAATGTAGAACACGGCAACTATAATAATACTTACATTTTATTTAACTTGATTTAAAACAAAGAAATTAAGAGATTGGGTGTAAAATAAATGCAATTTATAAATAACATTAGAACTTCATGTTCAAAACAATTTCATGTAGTTCATAGAAGATAGCTGCCTGCTTACCTCTTCATAAACCTTCTTGGCATTGTCATTATCTCCAATCAAGAGGTACCCCACTCCAAGGTCATTCTTTAAGGAAGTGTCATCAGGAAATAGTTGAACTAATTTCTGTAGAGTTAGCAGGGAACCTCTCATGTGACCTGATTTGGCAGGAAGGAAAAAAAAAAAGAATAAAAATAAAAATAGATTATGTAGATCTTTGTTTTTTTTTTTTTTTTAAAGATTTTTATTTATTTATTTTTTCCCCCCAAAGCCCCAGTAGGTAGTTTTATGTCATAGTTGCACATCCTTCCAGTTGCTGTATGTGGGATGCAGCCTCAGCATGGCTGGAGAAGCGGTGCGTCGGTGCGCGCCCGGGATCCGAACCCGGGCCGCCAGCAGCGGAGCGTGCGCACTTAACCGCTAAGCCACGGGGCCGGCCCTATGTAGACCTTTGTATTGAGACTACAAATCACAAGAGAGTATTCAACAGAGCCTGAAGACCAACTGAAATCTGAGTCTATTTACTGATAGCTAAGTACCTATTAGGCTTTATTCCTGTAGTTTGAATGGTATCAATAACTCCTGTAAGTAGATACTAAATATGATACTGGTTATAAACATTTTAAAGACATTTTCATTTTTCAAAATCATCATTTACCTTCTTATGTCAAATTTCCTCTTAAAGTTTTAGTTACCAATTCCTTGTAAAAAAATATTTTGCTGAGATATTTTTGCCTTATTATGATTAACTTTAAAATTATGAATACAGAACAGACAAATAAAAAGTCTAATAGATTTCAGGGTCTAGCACCCTGTATAAACTTGAAGAGGCACTGAGGTACACTGCTGACAGTGTTTCCAATTAAGCGTGTCCTTGTCTCTAGGTAATGGCCAGTCATGGAGCAAAGGAGACATCATCCAGTGTTATGGGACCCTCTGGTGGACGACAGGATACTATGCACAACATGAATCATGAAAACCCCAGCTTCAATTCATTTTTAAGGCTGTCTCATGGAAGTTTAAAATTTCTGGGGCCAATTGTCTTTACTCCTCACCATAGCTGGAAAGACAAATTGAATAAGGGAAAATGTGCAAACTAAGACTAGTATACATGACAAAATTAATTACCTAAAGGGCTCAGCTGCCCACAAACTGAATATTAGCCAAGAGTATAGTAGGACCATCAGTAAGCTAATGCAGTTGTATGCCCCACTAACAGATAAACTATTTGGCATAAAACCTCAGCAACTTATCCCATGGCCTGCTCTCCATCACTGGCCAATATGGGATGGGTTTGCTCAGCCATTCATTCTCTCGCTAACAAACTGGACTACTTTTCTCCACCCTTCTCTTCCCCTATCTGCCCAAATTAGGTCCACGCTTTTCTTCTGCTTCTAAACTTCCTCTATTAACCACTACAAAGCCCCAGGTGAAAATCCCTCCTGCTGCCATCTCCTCCTGTCCCTTCTACACTGCATCCTGGAGCCCTGTTCTCCTGAGAGTGACCTTCATCACCTTGTCCCTTCACTGACATCCTCTGCAGACAAGTCCCTCCTCACAGAGCCTCCTCGAGTGAACCTGCCTCATCGTCATTCGGAGGGAAAGACTATATTCAAGTATTGGAAGGTTGTTGTGGAAGAGGGTGAGATGCATTCATAGGCAGTCTTTTCCCCAGGGCCAGGAATAGGGTTAGGCAAGTGCAACACTTGGTGCAGAGTTTAAGAGGGTGCTCCAAATTCAGCAATCCAGATCAAAATTAATGGAAAAACCCATGATGAACAAAATATCGGGATTTTAAAGACAGAATCAGTAAACACCACTTACCAGAGCTATAGTGGAGCCTGAGGGAAGAGGACAAGCCAGCAGTACCAATTTTGCGCCCAAAGCGAGAGCCTCCCCTTGAGCCCCAGCCTGGCCTTTTCCACCCCGCATGTGTGCTGTAGGTTCTTCCTCCCTTGCATGGGCCCTTATGGACTTTAAGTCTGATGGACCACTTCTTCTAGTTGCTAATCATCACTTGGGTTCTACTCTTATCACAGATTTTGGTCATCTACCAAAGTGACACAACTACCTTTAATTCCATCCTTCAGAAAATTGATAAAAGGGTCAGTTGGCCTTGAATATTACTTATACGAGCCTCTCCTAGTGACATCGATAATTCGTTCACGTAACATCTTATCCAGCCAGCCGGGCACCCATCTTAACAGTTACCCATGGCTTAGATTCTTGCCTCCTGGTTTACTGATGACATGTTAGGTGGGAGAGAATCACAAGCCTGGTTATAATGAAGTTAGGTCACAGCTAGTCTTACTTGCCTTTGGCACTGGGAACCTGGGTCAGTCAGAGATGATGCTTTATGCTGCTCTTTTCAAAGCATATGCAAATTTACTTAGCGATTACGATTTTTTTTTTCTATCATTTTCCTTGGTATAGAGTCAAACCTTACAGGTAAAATTTTCAGAGCCTGAAACTCCTAATATTCCTCTATCAAAATTGTTCCACTGATAATTTCAACCTCCATGAATCAGTTCATTATAATAAAGAAATGAATATGCCATGACAGGAGGAGTTTTTGATTCCAGACCTATTAATTTATTAGCTATGATTCCTTGGGCAAATTATCCAACCTCTCAACATCCTATTTGCCACATCTTTAAAATGGGGGGGAGTGAAGGAAGGCGGTAGGAAGGCGGTAAAAATACTATCTACATCTTTGTAATTATTAAGGTTAGCGTTGCTATTTCAGTCTAAGACACACTCGAGTAAGTTACCTGAAATTAGTTATAAAACTTGGGTTTCCTTCCACGTAACTAAACTCTTCTAAAAGTATACATAGCCATCGGGCTCTTCAAGATAAGAGCACGGCATTTGCTGCTGAATTAACTCGTATTCCATTTTACCTAGAAACTGCTGTCTTTCTGACCGTCGCTTCAAACTCAGCTTCACCAGGTCTGCGGGGACGTCGGGCAGGCTGGCCACCTCCTGGTAGGTCTCAATGGCGCCCCGCAGCACCTCATTGCTCCTCCTCTTCTCAGCCAAATCGTCTTCACACTAGAGGAAGTCCCACACTGGATAAATGTCCCATGACAAGCTATATTTGTAATCAACCAACATATTCGTGAAAAGTTGACTTTGGGACATGCTTTAAAAGTAATTCAAGACAGATTAAAATTTTCTCTTTATCAAGACAAAAAAAATAAACAAAGGAAAGCAACACAACATGCTATTTTAATAATATGAGCAAAAGTTAGCTACTAAGCTACAGATGAGAAAGAATATCATAAAAACAAGGTTAATATATGCTGGGGCTAATGGAGATTTATATCATGTTATACATTCACATTATACAGACAAGACTCCAGTCCACAGTTCCCTTTCTTTCATTAGTTTATTCCTGTGTTCAATCACTCATTCAACAACTATTTTCTGGGAGCCAGGCACTGTTCTACACATGTGGCAGACAAATTAAACAAAACAGACAAATCCCTTTTCTCGTTTTCCGTTATTCTGGAAAGGAGAGAAAGTCTGGTGGCCATAAATGCTGTGGATAAAAACAAAGCAGGCTTACGAGTGCTGGGAGTGGGGAGGTAGGGAGGATGCTAGTTTAATCAGGATGATCAGGGAGGGCCTGAAAGAAGTGATCGAGTGAGGCATGAAGATATCTGGGGGAAGAATGTCCCAGGCAGAGAGAACAGCAAGAGCAGGAGCCCTGGGGGATGGTGAGGAATAGAGGAAAGGCTGGTGCAGGAGGGGACCGAGGAGGAGACTGATGCGGGGTGTCAGGGAATGAAGAACCTGGTAAACTACTGCCAATTCTACCACACTAATTCTACATCACATGGAAGGAACTAGGGTTTTTTGACACGATCTGATGGCTGTCAAAAGGCTCACACTGGCAGTGGTATGGAGAACATACAGGGGGCAGGGGGAGAAGCAGAGAGCCCAGTTAGGACATTCCGGCAGGAATCCAGACAATGGGTATGATGCCTTGGACTAAGGTAGTAGTAATAGGGGTGGTAAGAAGTGGTTGGATCGTAGGTATATTATGAAGGTCAGAGCCAACAGATTGGTAGATGGTCTGAATGTAGGGTATGTGAAAAAGGGAAAGAGAGAAGTCAAGGATGAATTCAAGGTTTTTGGCTTAATAATTAGCAGGTGGAACTGTCATTCCCTGAGAACAGGAGTTCAGGGCAGAAGCAGCTTTGGAGGCATGTGGAATCAGGAGTTCAGTTCTAGCCATACTAAACCCCAATGCCTATGGTATCCAAGTGGAGATATTGGATAAGAAGGTGCATATGTGAGTCTGACATTCAGTAGATAGTCAGAGTTAGAGACATCCACTGGGGAATCATCAAGGATAGCGATGATATTTAAAGCTAAGAAGCTAGAAGCAGTTGGGAATGTAGATAGAGAAAAGAAGAGGTCTAAGAACAGAACTGCAAGGAACTGCAATGTTTCAAGGTCATTAGAGGTCAGAAAGATGGGAGAACCAGCAAAAAACGACAGAGAAGGAAGGAGGAGAGAAGGAAATAAGAACAAAAAAGTGGTGTTCTGGAGGCCAAGTGACAGAAGGTATCAAGAGGGAGTGATCGATCGTGTTAGAGGTGGCCGTCAGGGTGGGCGAGATGAGAACTGAGAGCAGACCATGCTGGACTGGGCAATGTGGCGCCTCTGAAGGCCCTGGCAAGAGCGTTTCCATAGGACTATGGGGGACCCGTAATGGAATGGAGCAGGTTCAAAAGAAAACAGGAGGGACGAGGGTACAGACAACTCTTTCAAGGAGTTTCACTGTAAAGGGAAGCAGAAAAATGGGCCAAGTAAGTGGAAAGGAATGTGGAGACAGGAGAGAGTTTTTTTAACAACGGGAAATATTACAGCATGTTTCTAAGCTGATGCGAAAGACTCAGCAGAGAGGGAAAATCTGATGATGCAGAAGGGGACACAAAAATTAGAATGATGTCCCTCAGCAGGTGAGAGGGGACGGGAGAGGGGACCAGAACGGTTCATCCGTGCTAACAGGAGGGAGGGCAGAGCGTATGGGAGCAGGTGGCGGTAGGTTATTAGTGCAGTAGTGGGGTCATGCAGAAGCTCTCTTTGGATACTTCTATTTTTTCAGTGAAATAAGCAAGATTCTTAGCTGGAGATTGAGAATGCGGAGTGAAATACCAGAGGTAGGAAGAGAGAGGAGAATGTGTAAAATGGTCATCAAAATCTCATCAGATTTAGTAGACCACAATTTGCAGATTACCATTTGAGGAAAAATAATACCACTTAGATGCTAAAAGTAGTATATAAATTTTTTTTTCTCAGAATATCCTATTTAACATGTTTACCTTTTTAAAAGAAAGTGTGTGCTGTAGTCAATACATACAACGTCTGCAGAACCAAAATAAAGCCTAACTCCATAATTTGAGAACATGGTAAGAAAATGATCCATCCCTCCTCCACCCCAAAAACTAGTAAGAATCAGTAAAAATTGATAAAATATCTATGGGAAGCTTTTCAGAGAATAACACATCAAAGAAAAAACTTGATACTATGTACTGATTAAGTAAGTTTCCCAGGATGATGAAGGCTAGACTCAAAGCGGTGGTGACAGAAGTGGACAGATTTATGAGAAAGAAAAATTGAAAAAAAATCTCTAGATTTGAAAAGGGCATGTCACCCTTGTTTGATAGAAAAAAGCTTCAGAACACACAACTATCTGTTCAAATCTGTAAAGGGTCTCCAGAATAGACTTATCTACCAGGAGAGGAAGTCCAGTGTCAATGGCCCATACTGGTCATCCTGCCCATATGGCCTTCTGTTAATTCATATGCTGGCTTTTCTGTTTAGGCATCAGTTTCTTGTGAGTTTGGCTATGCTGACTTAACTCCCAGAAACACAATCATTCATAGATAACTTCACAGAATGACAGAGTCCTACAGCTGAGAGAGGCCTTCTGAGACCATCTAGTATAGCCTCTTCAAGCCAAGAAATAGATACTGGAACTAGAGGGTCTCTTCAAGGTTATTGCAAGGACAAATGCCTACCAAGGTAATCCTTCTTTATAGAGTTAGGAATAAATATCTAACTAAACTCAACCCAAAAAGAGAGAAAGATGATACAATCTATTCCTTGTCCCCTCCTCTCCTTCCAGCCCAGGGTCTTTCATTTTAATGCAGTACAAAACATTTTACAACCTCTAGAATTGGAGAAATATCAGTATTAAAATGGCACATAATTCTTTAAAATCTCTTGAATGAAACTGATAGGCTTTGCTTTGAAAATCAAAATTGTACAGATTGATTTTTATCAGTTTAGCATCTGTAGATAAAATGACTTGAGCATTTGTTACAGGACGTTAACATGGCAAAGCCTTCTGTTGACTCAGACTAATTCACCCATCCACCCTTCCTAGGAGATGTGTCATTTTCTGCCTCAGAGGCATTAATAGTTTGTGTAATTGTATGAATTGAGTTTAAGAATTCAAGATATTGTGTCCGATGTTGAGGGAACTTCGTCAAAATTGATTTTCAGAGTGATCCAAAGAATAAGAATAATCTAGGCTACTTTAGAAATGAGAGAGACTGTAGTTTATATTTAACTCAATGTTGCTGAATTTTTAAAATTTGTTGGGATATTCCAAAGTAATTACTTAATCTGCTAGCAAAGAATGAAAAAGCCATCACTTATTCCTCCCTTTAAAATCCATCTTCTGTTGAATTTTTAAAACTATGAATTTAAATTTTCTTTTAAATTACTCTATTAATGTTTAATTTACCATGCCTAAATCTTGCTTTATGCCACATTAATATCAATAATACCTTGAAGCATAACAGTTTAGAGATAAAAAATATAGCCTGAGGCCTAAATCTCAAATTCCTGCTGTTAAATCAGGATATAAAGACATCAATCACCATGTGCAAAAAATACTGCATTTACTTAGACTTTGGTACCCACAATTAATATCACATGTAAGAAAAGTTCTAAAGCACAAAACATTTTGCCATAAGTAAATCAGCATTTGCATCAATCATTATTCTCTCTAGTTAATACACTTTCCTTAATCAAATGACTGTCAATATTAGCGACAAAGCACATCATTTACTGGAACAGGCATGATCTGTTGGTAATGAGCACATTCTCCCTCGCTTACTGGCAATACAATTTAGCAATTTTGGAGGATTACTGACCAAATTAATTTACAAAAATGATACAGCTGTTGTCTGCTAAACCTGTTCTGTACGATAGATAAGAGGAACTTATTCGCATTAATTTTTCACAAACTTAATTTATTAAAATTTAATTAATAACAATTTAATTATTAAGTTTTTAATGAGGAGATCGGAAGAATTTGAACATCTGGATCTCAAGCGGTTGCCACCTTTAGTTTAGAGCAAAACATACTTATTTTACCTATAGATGTGTTAGTTCCTGTGTGAGTATCACACATAAGTGACAGCACTGACCCCTTCCAAAGGGGTGTTGTCAATTTCTTGGTCTGGAAAATTTCTGTAGCTCTGCATCTACTGTTTCCCAGCAGGGCTGACCATCTCGTGCCCCTAGGCAGGGCTGCAGGGGCTTGACTGCTGACACCTTCGTGTATCAGTCCTGGCTTTTACCCTGAGCTCCAGACTCTATAAATCCCATGGTCTACTTGACACGCCCACTTGAATGTCTATTAGGCATCACAAACTTAACAGGACTAGAAGCTTCTTGATTTTGCACCTGCCCAAACCTGTTCCTCTACCAATCTTCCCAATCAGTAACTGGAATCTTCCTCTCCTCAGCTGGCCACACCAAAACCCCAGGAGTCCCCTGGAGTCCTTTCTTTCTCAGACCCTTCCATCTCATCCATCATCAAGCCCTTTAAGCTTGGCCCTCTGCTCACTTCCCCACCTCCAAGGGACCACTGTCCGAGCCACCGCATCTTGAGTACACATGCAACAGCCTCCTTTCTTCTTGCTGCTACTTTTGCCCCATAATCCATTCTCCACCCAGCAACCAAAGCAATCTTTATAAAAAACAACCAGAGTCATGCCCATGCCTAACTCTCCAACAGCTTCCCAGTGCCTGGAGAATACAATCTGTGAGGCCATGGCCTCACTCCTCCCACTTCACCCTCCCTTGAGTGCCCTTCTTCCTGTCCCCGAGCTTATCACGCCAAGACTGTTTCCCTGCATCACAGCCTTTGCCCTCGCTGTTCCCTCTGCCTGGACAGCTCCTTCCACAACTTTGTCACCCCTAGAGAGGCCTGTTCTGATCATCTTATCTTAAGCATTGTCTGTTGTGCCCTCAATCACATTACCTGCAGCCAAAAATCTTAATAGGTATGCTCTTTATTCCATTACCTTCTTTCTTTATGGCATATACTATTATGTAAGATGATCCAATATATTTACTTTTAACACTTTATAATATTCTTTAAATATATATTTATTTATAAAGATATTTATATTATATTACATCTATATTATTATTACATTTATTTATATTATATTATAAATGTATATTCATTTATAAAGATTTTCAGGACTTTGCTCAAATGTTACCTCCTTGGGGAGGCCTTTCCCTGCCACTCTAGCCAACATTTCACACATCCTGTGGCTGTACTCTGCTCTATGTTTGTTCTCCTTAGCACTTATCACTAGCAAGCATATATATTTTACTTCTTTGTCTCATGCATTGTCTTTGCCATTACAAATGAAAACTCATATGTTTTGTTGATGGCTGCATGTGCAGTGCTTAAAACAGAGCCTGGTGTATAGTAGATTTTCACTAAGTAATTTTTGAGTAAGTAACTTTTAAAATATCTTCCACTGGAATAGAAGATCTGCAAGGACAGAGACCTCTAGAGCGTTCATTATGATCATTCCAGGGCCTCAAGCAGTATGTGGCACATGGTGGGTTATGCAGCTATAGAAGAATGTGGAAAAGCTTCATGAAATGAGGAGCTGGAAGATGGAGAAAGTCAGGTGAGAAAGGAGATGGTGGGAGCGGAAGATAGGGAGAAGGTAGCTGGTAAGAAATAAGTCAGTTGAAAGAAACTATAGAGAAAACAAAGTACATCCCACTTTATATTTTAAAAAAGTCTTTTCTAAGCATACTTGCAACTCTGGTTATAAAACTGAGCTCTTAAAGCACTGAGGAGCCTAAAGTGAAACTATGTGATGGGTCTAATTGGAATGAGACGTGGAAGTGGTGGGAAATCAATGACAAAAGCGTCATTCTTTATTTCCTTTTCAAAACTAGAGAGAAGTCATATGGAGGGGGAACAGAAAAATGTTACTAAATTCACCAGTACACAAGAGCAATAATTAATTTTCTTATCTAAAACAGTACTTCTTGCTTGAGTTTATGCAGATGCATGAAAAATTGATTCTGTTTATAAGTTATATGGGAAAAAGAAAAAGCAAATAGTGGGCTGTGGAAAATCCAATTACGCAGACTACAAGGACATCACACACAGTTTTCTGAAGAGAAGGGTTTTAGAATACCTGTGCCTTCCCATATCTCGCCCGCGGACTCTGAGGGTATTTGCGAACTAGTTCTTCAAACGCATTCGCTGCTTCTTCAATTTTTCCCTGTAGGAAGAGGTATTTACATAGATACAATAAATTCAAACGCATAATGTTATTCAATATAGTTGTTTCATATTTACCAAGCAATTTTGTCGAAATTTCCTGGACTCCACTCTGAATTTAAAGACAGTTTAAACTAAGATTTTAAAAAAATTAACTGTATTATATGGCAAACACAAAACTAGAAATGAACAAAAACATATTTTAGTTTTTAAAAGACAGAACCTGACAAATGATGTACTATGAGACTTTGTTAAAGAAACTGTATTTTCCCTCCATATGTACAGTTCCTCCAAGAATTCTTAAATATCTAGGTTTTAAGTTGGGGGGAAAATACTGCTGGCAGCTAGAATGTCTGCATTGAGACATTCTCAATGGGGTCTGCAGTGAGACGTCTGAAGCACCTGTTAAAACAGTGGAGAGCAAACACACAGGATGAGAGGGCCACTTGGCCACGGTACCTTGACCCATTGAACCTCAGGGTTGATTTGGTTCATCTGGTTGACTGGAGCCTCACTGCCTCAATCACGTATCCCCTGCCAAAGCTCACATGGGCCTTAAGAAGATGGTCCGAGCACCTTCGATAGGTCTCTGACCACCACTGCATGAAAAGAAATGGAGGACATGGAACAGGTAAACTTGGTGAGTGTCTTGGCAGGGGCGTGAGGAAACCTCTCCCCGTCTCACTCCGTCCAGTGCCATTCCACAGGGTGAAACAAACGTCTCCTGGTTTCTACAGGTGGCAGCAGGCCAAGGATATTGGGAACCACGGGATTGAGACAGATTTTCCAAGTTGAACTTTCCCAGACACTTCAGCTCCCTATAAACTGGCAAATCCATTCAATCTACATGTAAACGCAAGCTCACTGTGGTTTATATGTTTTGACCTTCACCGAGTGAGTTTTCATTCAACTAAGTTTACCTCACAAATGTGGCTGTGCAAAGCCAACAGTATAGTACTACCCAACTGTTCCTTACACCTACTTCTGAAAGACTTGACTAAATAGAGAGGAGTCAGGCAATGTCCATATGAAAGTTCCTTGAAATCATTCCTTAGGTAGACATCATCGAAGAAGGTGGTTTTCTTTTCCCTCTCACATGCCCGTAGGTGGTGCTGAGGGGCTGGAGGAAAATACATGCATTGTGTAGTGGTCACAAGTGCAGGCTCCGGAGCCACGGACTGGTCAAAGTCTGGGCTCTACCAGTTGGGAGGTGTGGGACTTATGGCAAGTTACTTAGGACTCTGCCTTAGGTGGCTCATCTGTAAAATGGGGATAATGAGGGTACTTGACTACCTTGTGGAGTTGCTATGAAGGTTAAATCTGATTACATACATAAAGTGCTTGTAGACACTGCAGAGAGCATAGAAAGCACTGAACAATGTTAGTTATTATTATTATTGTGGTGTGTGGTGGATGTGCGTGCCAGCACAAGATAATGGGGCCCATCCCAGATAAGTCTCTTATCTGACAGACAGGCAGCTTAATGCAAAGACAATGAGGACTTGAATCATGCCAGGAACACATTCTCTAAGTTATATTTATTGTCAGAAATAATTGTATTGCTATTTAAAATATGCTGCCCCTCTCATAATATTAATTATTATTTATTTTTTTGGAAGATTGGCCCTGAGCTAACATCTGCTGCCCATCTTCCTTTTTTTTTCCCCCTTTTTCTCCCTAAAGCCCCAATACATAGTTGTATATCCTAGTTGTAGGTCCTTCTAGTTCTTCTATGTGGGACACCGCCTCAGCATGGCTTGATGAGCAGTGCATAGGTCCACACCCAGGATCCAAACCAGTGAACCCTGGGCCACCGAAGCAGAGTGCACAAACTTAACTGCTATGCCACTGGGCTGGCTCCATCATAATATTAATTTTTTTAAAGACTATTGTTTTGGAGCAGTCTGAGGTTCACAGCAAAATTGAGAGGAAAGCATAGAGATTTCCCATATACTTCCTACTCCCACACACGCACAGCCTCCCCTATAATCAATATGCTGCGCCACAGTGGTACATTTGTTATAACTGATGAACCTATACTAACACGCCATAATCACCCAAAGTCCATAGTTTACCTGAGAGTTCACTCTTGGTGGTGTACATTCTATTGGTTTAGACAAATGTATACCGACTGCACCACTGTTCTAGTATCATACAGAGTAGTTTCACCGCCCTAAAAATCATCTGTGCTCCGCCTAATCATCCCTCTCCCAGCCCCCACTCACTCTCAGCAAACACTGATCTTTTTACTGTCTCCATAGTTTTGTCTTTTCCAAAAGGTCATGCAGTTGGAATCATACAGTATGCAGCCTTTTGAGATTGACTTCTTTCACTTAGTAATATGCATTTAAGGTTCCTCCATGTCTTTTCATGGCTTGAGAGCTCACTTCTTTATAGTGCTGAATAATATTTCATTATCTACATGTGTCACAGTTTATTAATCCATTCACCTACTGAAGGACATCTTGGTTGCTTCCAAGTTTTGGCAGTTATGAATAAAGCTGCTATAAACATTCATTGTGTGGACATAAATTTTCAACTCCTTTGGGTAAATACCAAGGAGCAGGATTTCTGGATGGTACTATAAGAGCATGTTTAATTTTCTAAGAAACCACCAAACTACCTTCCAAAGTTGCTATTCTATTTTGCATTCCCACCACCAATGTATGAGAGTTCCTGTTAGTCTATACCCTTGTCAGCATTTGGTGTTATCAGTGATCCAGATTTTGGCCATTCCAACAAGTATATAGTGGTACCTCATTGTTGTTTTAATTTGCATTTCCCTGATAACAAATGACGTGGAGCATCTTTTCATACGCTTATTTTCCATCTGTATATCTTCTTTGGTGAGGTGCCTGTTAAGGTCTTTGACTCATTTTTTAATCAAGTTGTTTGTTTTCTTACTACTGAATTTGAAGAAGTCTTTGTATATTTTGGATAACTGTTTTTAATACCACTATTTTATTTCTTCTGTTAATGATTTTAAGGGATGAAGATTTCATGTTAAATATTTTTCTGTGTGACTTTCTTCAAATTATCGTCTAATTAGTTTCCTGTGGCTGCTGTAACAAATCACCACAAACTTGGTGGCTTAAAGCAACAGAAATTAATTCTCGCACAGTGCTGGAGAACAGAAGTCCAAAATCAGTTTCCCCGGGCTGAAATCAGGTGTCCACAGGGCTGTATGTCCTCTGGAGGCTTTAGGGGAGAATCTGTCCTTGCGTCTTCCAGCTCCTGAGGGCTGTTAGCATTCCTCAGCTTGTGGCTGCATCACTCTAATCTCTCCCCCCATCTTCATATCACCTTCTCCCCTCTGTGTATGTTTCTTCTCATCTGTCTGTATAAAATCTCCATCTGCCTCTTTCTTATAAGGACACATTTCAGACCTGTGATGGTTAATTTTCGTGTCAAACTCGACTGAGTTAAGGGATGCCTAGATAGTTGCTAAAACATTATTTCTAGGTGTGTCCCTGAGGACGTCTCCAGAAGAGATTAGCGTTTGAATCAGTAGACCAGATCATTCTCAACAGTGCCAGCGGGCATCATCCAATCCAGAGGGGCCCTGAATAGAACAAACAGGTGGAGAAAAGGAGAATTTACTTTCTGTGCTTGAGTTGAAACATCCATCTTCTCCTGCCCTCAGACATCAGCGCTCCTGGTTCTCAGACTTCCAGACTCACACTGAGACTTACACCATCGGCCAGGTCTTCAGACTCAAACTGAATGACACCATTGGCTTGTCTGGTTCTCCAGCTTGCAGAGAGCAGAATGTGGGAATTCTTGGCCTCTGTAACCATGTGAGCCAATTACTATAATAAACCTCTTCTTCTATATATTTATATGTATCCTATTTGTTCTGTTTCTCTGGAAAACCCTGACTATTACAGGGCCTACCAGGATAATCCAGGAAAATTCCTCCTTTGTAAGATCCTTATCTTAATCACATCTGCAAAAGCCCTTTTCCCAAATAAGGTAATGTTTTCAGGTCCAGGGATCAGAACATGGATATCTTTTGGGGAAGCCTTTTTTTAGCCTACCAGAGTCTGCCTTCTGGCCCCCAATGATTCACATCTGTCTCATATGCAAAATACATTCACCCATTCCAACATTCCCAAAAGTCTGGACACACTACATCATCAACTCAAGTCTAAAATCTCATCTAAATCTCCTTAGCTCCAAAGTCCCAAATCTCATCATCTAATTCAATTCATCTAAATCACAGATGGACGAGACTCTGGTTATAATCCTTTTTGGGGTAAAATTCTTCTCCATCTGTGGAATTGTGAAACTAGAAAACAAGTTATCTGCTTCTAAAACACAAAGGTGAGATAATCATAGGATAACATTTATAGACATTTCTATTCCAAAACAGAGAAAATGGAAAGAAGAGTGGAGTCACTGATTCCAATTTCAAAATGTAGCCAGGCGAATTCCATTAGGTTTCAAAGTCTGTAGCTCAAGGTTCTGCCCTTTGGGTCATAGGCTCTGGCTATTGTGTCTTTGTTTCTAGACTCTGGGTCCAAGTCTCTGCCCTTGGATTTATCTTTCCTTTCTACTGAAAAGAGAGTGTGGGTTTTCAGTCGATTAGTTTTATCAGCCTGTTTCCTGCCTGTGGAATTTTGGGAGTCTGTCAGCCTTCTTTCAGTTTGTCCTCTGTCTCTTTCAGTCCAAAGTGGCAGTGCTTCTGCTGGTATAATATTCTCAAAAACCTGTGGCTCTCTTGTGTATGTCACAGGGATTCACACCATTAGACTAAAGTCATGTCCACAGACCCTTCCAGGATAATCCCCTCTCTATTCCTGGCTTCTGATGAGATGGTTGAGTGGAACCAAGAGTCACATAACTAATCTTTTCAGGAAAAGGATGTCCAGTCCCACCCTTGGTCTTCTCTCCAAAGTACGCTTTCCTAACAGTGAATTTCCTAATTTTAGCATCTTCTGCAATCTAGATAGGCTGAGAAATATCCAAATAATCATGTTCTGTTTTTTTTTCCTTAACAGTTCTTTCCTTAATTATCTCTTTCCTCTCATATTTTACTAGAAGCAGCAAAAAGAAACCAGGCCACACCTTCAACACATTGCTTGGAAATCTCCTCGCTGAATATCCAAGTTTCATTGCTTACAAGTTTTTTTTTCCCACACAACTGTAAGATACAACTCAGGTAAGTTTTCTGACACTGTGCAACGAGGACTGCCTTTCCTCCGGTTTTCAAGAACATGTTCCTCATTTCCTTCTGGGCCCTTGCCAGTAGTGCCTTTAATGTCTATATCTCTATCAACATTCTGTTCATAATGATATATGTGTTCTCTAAGATGATAAAAGCTTTCTTTACTGTGCTCCTCACTTCCTCTGAGTCCTCACCAGAAGCAGATTTAATGTCCATATTTCTACCAAGAGTCTGATTAAAGCAATCCAGGCTTTTGCTATCATGCATCTCAAAATTCTTCCAGCCTTTACCCCTCACTCACTTCCAAAGCCATTTCCACATTTTTCAGTATTGGCTACAGCAGCACCCCACTGCCCAGCACCAAAATCTGTATCAGTTTCCTACGGCTGCTGTAACAAATTACCACAAATTTGGTAGCTTAAAACAACAGAAATTTATTCTCTCTCAGTTCTGGAGAATGTAAGTCCGAACTCAGTTTCATTGGGCTGAAATCAAGGTGTGAGCAAAGCTGAGCTTCCTCCAGTGGCACTAGGGGAGAATCTGTTTCTTGCCTCCTGACGGTATTTTCTGACTTGTGGGTGCATCAGTCCAATCTCCACTTCCATCTTCACATTGCCTACTCCTCTCTGTGTGTGCTCTCTCCTATTTTGTCTCTCTGCCTCTGTCTTAGAAGGAAACACGTGTTTGCATTTAGGGCCCAAGTGGATAACTGAGGATAATCTCACCATCTCAAGATCTTTAACTTAATCATATCTGCAAGACCCTATCTCCAAATACAGTCATATTTACAGGTTCCAGGGATTAGGACATGGATATTTGTGGGGGGACCATTTTCAGCCTACCACCTGCCCTATGCAACTTAAATTGCAAATGTTGAGGCTATTTTTGTGAAAATCATGCTAAATGCACCATTACCAGATTTAAAACATAGGAATAACAATGTTTATAACAAAACTTTTCAAGTATTTTGTTCCTGCTTGACCCTTCCTACTTAGGCAGCCATCAAGGTTATCAGAATAATGGAATATTTTGCCACTGTCCTAGGCATCCTTTGGATCCCCTTAAGACAGAGGCTGTGTGGCCTTCCTAAGGGACTGTCAGCCCTGCTCTCAACCGCATCTGTCTGGCAAATAAATGTATTTGCCTTTAGTCTGAAAGAATTTCCCTTCCCCAGGTTATTACTACAGCTCCTAACACTATTGTGCAATTCTTTTTTTTTTTTTAATTTTTTGTTTATTGCAGTAACATTGGTTTATAACATTGTAAAAATTTCAGGTGTACATCATTGTACTTCTTATTAGAAAACTCAACTGCAAGATACAATGCTTGTGAAGAATTGCCTGAAAATCATCTGTGCTTCAACATAGCTTATATTTTATTCTAGGAGCAAGACAGTTCACTGGAGAGACGTGGACTTGGGCCCACTGTCTTGGCATGAGGCCAATGGGCTGTGCTGAAGGACGTTAGGACACACCCCTGCAGATATACTGTAGAATCTGCTCATGTGACGTTAGGGAGGAGGTTGTGCAGTCCATCAGTGTACTCTTGATGAAGAGCTACAGCAGGATGTTTCTCTCTGGACTTGGTGCAGAACAGCTATTCTGATGAATACTATTCACCTTACAGTGACACGCCACTCCCCTGGTTCTGCCTACAGATTACTTCATCCCTTGCTCCGTTCAGAGCCTGTGTGCTGTGAACTTTCATGTGTTGACCTTACTCTGACTTTATTAAGTTTTCCTTTCTCTCTCTTTTTTCCACTTATAATGCAATAATAATAAATTATTCCAAAAAATAAACAAATATTTCAGAATATAAGTTGAAATCCTTTCTCTAGGGGTAAAGAGAAGTTTTAAACAATAAATGTTATTTTTTAAATAACATTTAAAAATAATCCATACATTTTTGAAGGAAAAATAAAGTGACCTCAGACTTTCCTGTAGCATGCTACTTGAATCTAGAATGTGAACTGAGACTGGGCCTTAGCATGGGCCTCAACTACTCCAGTGCAGTCCGCTGCATCTTTTGAAAATACCAGCTATAAAAACGACCCTACAAGACTTAATTATGCTGATGAGTCAGTCAATAATTCAGCACCTTGTTCTTTCAGAAGCAAGAATTACCTATGTGGCCACTTCTTCCTCCCTTATTTACCCTGTTATAGATTCAGGGTGCTCCTCGAGGAGAGCGTCATCATTTCTCCAAATAAACAAGAACCAGAGAATACTCCATGGATTGTTCCCAGCACTTTTATGTTCCACTGACTTATCTGCCCTTTGATAACTGAGCCCTTCTTTACTGTTCATTATAATTACATAGAAATCCTACTCTAGAGCTGTTCATTTGTTCTTTATCCCAAAAGTCACCTGTGAAATAGGCATTCCATATTTTCATATATGGCATTTAGTCCTGAGAAAGTGGAGAACGCCAAACAGGCGACAGAAAACGAAGATTCCCGTTTCATTTCTATTAAGAAGTGCAAATTTCCTACAAACAGTAGATGGCTTCATTTTATAAAGCTAAACAAGATAGACTCAGAAATCACTCCATATGATTAATTTAGTGAACAACGACTTTGCTGTAATATTCTTTGGAGTTACTACATTTGTATCGGCTGGTAAAGAGGGTAAGCCAACCTTAGCTTGGGAACCTGGTCTAATGCTAGTTACAGAAGCCTTCACGCTCGTTGGTACACTTCCAACAAACGTGTGGGAAGCACTTTCTTGTCCCATTTCAGTTCCTAACACGGGTTTTCTTATTGTTTTTGCTTATTTACTCACAGTTCCCTCGTCCCTTTTTTTTGCAGCCAATGTTTACCAATAAAAAAGCAGCTTACAGGAAAACTAATGAGCATTACACCGCGTATAAATTCAAGTACGGAGTAGAGAAAAAGACATTTCTATGAAAAACAAATAGATGATTAAATGAAGATGTCATTAAATATATTATCGTAAGTATCTGGCCTGATAATTACATGGATATGACTGAGTCAAGAGAACAAATAACTTCCATTTAGTGTCAATTCACTGTTTTCAAAAACTAATATCTAGAAACAAATGCAAATAGTATTTCAAATTAACTGATGACAAAACAAAACATAAAAGAGTCACTCTGAAAACTGGAGGCGCGTGAGGTTAACCCAAGTGAGAAGAATGTCATTTAACCTAACAGGAACTATCCTAAGAGTAGTGGACTAACTTGTTCTTTCTGTTTGCATGTAGCTGCTATAAAATTAAAACCTCCACTTGCATAGTACTTAACAGTATTGATATATATATATTTTTTAATCTCACTTGATCTTTACAAAAACCAAGAAGGATGTAGGAAGACTACTTATTACTCCCATTTTTTAAAATAGGAAAACTGAGGCTCAGAATGGCCAAGTGCTTATCCAAAGCCACACGACTAGAATGTGATGGAAGTGGGCTGACTCCCAAGTTAGCTGGCCTGAAGGTAAGTTCTGTTTCCATTTGGCCATTACAACTGCAATTGTGCTTTTCATTTGATTCATTTCACATGGAATGCTGATGTGCCTGGGGAAAAATCCACTCTATTCAAAGGTGGTTTCTCTTACGTTTTTTTTAAACAAATCAAGAGTAACGCCTGAGTTTATTTAACAACTAAACCATTGCACATTTCTGCGCAAAACAAAAATATCAACCTACCCTTTTACGGAGTTTTTCTGCAGCATCAAGTTCAGCTTTAATAGTCTTATCAAATTTATTTAATAGTTTAGGCTTCTTTTTCTTAACTGAAAGAAAAAAGAGGTTTTTATTTTTATTTTTTTTGTCTAGAAATAGCTATTAAGAATAGTGATTTATAAGTAGTGAGAAACCTAGCGTTGGTCTGGAACCTATAACTGCAGGAGGAGGCACACTCCCAGCTCACCTTCCCACCCCCTTACCCACGTCCACTATAACACAGTCAGTAACTGCCAGGCCACAGGGAGACAGTACAGCCCTTAACTCAGGCCCAAAAGTATTCTTGGGAGACTGGGTGGATGCTGGTATCCTGGAACTCGCAGGGATACTGGCCTAGTTTCTGGAGTGAAAATAGTAGGTATGATTTCTAAACTCTTATGATCGACTTCTTGGCTAAGTCCAAAAGACCACTTAAAATAGTTTTAGCATATATCTACAATGTTTCTAATCAGATAAAGATAAAAATGGGAAGCTATTCTCTATAGAGTCAAGTAAACAGGATTTTTTAGTCTAGCACTCAAGGATCTTCCATTGACTCATGGACTTACCACTCCGCTATATTCCATACTTCAGCTAAACTAGACTTCTCCATGTTCCCCAAATAAGCTTTGTGCATTTCTGATGCCACTTTCTCCAAATAAAATGGCCTATTCCTTATCTTTGTCAGTTGAAAATATGCCCATCCTTCAACAACTAGCTCAAAACCACACTCCTTATCAAGTTTCCCCACAAATCACTCACTCAAGTACTCAGTCCTCCCTCTTCCTCTTTCTCTGTCTCTCTCTCTCTCAACTGAAGTCCATAGCACCCTGCATACATCTCTTTTATGGTCCCTCTCCCATATGACTTCTACTACAATCATTTGTGCATTTATCTTAGTTCCTTTCCAAACCAGAAGCTCCTGCAAGGTGGCACCAGGTCTTAGATGCCAACTGAATGTATTCATGCTTACTCAGCATGAAGTCACAGTCAACAGGTGAGAGGGCGGGTCGTGCTGGTACATACCCGGCAGCGCCTGTGGAGTGGACAGATAGCAAGTGCTCCCTGGAAGCTCAAATGTTCTGACATTAAACCTACACATTCAGTTACTTCTGCTCTATCCTGTCACGAAAGAGGAGGGTCTCTCCTTCCGAAGGTTACCCCCTCCATACGCACACCTGCCCTCTGCCTTCTGCGTCTCCTCTGAATGGCTCCTCACTCTCTCTCTGGCTTTCAGCCCCTATTGGCATTTAATAGTGCTGATGTCTCAGTGTCTTAAAGCAAACCAACCAACCCACCAAGACCGACCTCAGCCTGCCCTCCTCTGCTTGCCATCCTCTCTTCCCCTCCCCTCACACCTGGCTCTCTCTCAACCCACAGAGCCCTGGCTCCCTCACCCCACACATAGGCCAAAGCAAGTGTTCCAGAGGGAAGGGGAGCTCAGGGGTTGAGTCACGGCAGGGGTCTGAGTCCCAGCTCTGTCAGATCCCTGCTCTATGACCTAAGCTGGTATTAAACTTTCCTGACTCGCGCTTCCCTAATCTATTAAATGAGTGTAGTGTTTTTGAGAACTAAATCTATATTGTGTGTGGGCAAACAGCACAGTGCCTGGCATGTACTAAGCGGTCTGTACCTGAGGGCTAATAATGCCTAAGGCCTTCTCTGCATGGCCTTTTCTTCCTATCTACCTGCCCACTCTGCAGCATCTCACACAGCTGACTCCACCCTCCTTCCTGATGTGATCCCTCTCCTTGACTTTTGCATTGCCCATTTTCCTGGTTTTCCTCCTTGTTCTCTGGCCTCTCCATTTCCTCCCCGTCTCCTCTGTGGCTCCTGCCCTCTGCTGATCCCTAGGATGCTGTGCTCCTCAGGCTCAGTCTTCAGCCCTCTAAATGGCTTTAACTGTTAATTTTCCAACTGAGCTAAAAATTAACTAGCTAATTTTTCTCTGTATTAAAAAATCACAAATCCAAGTGCCTATGATTTAGGGCACAGATGCCTCAAGCTCAGCAGATCAGAAATGGAATTCACTATTGCTCACAAATCCATTCTTTCTCAAATTTACCCTACTTTAGAGGATGGAGCCCTATTCATCTGGTTATCCAAATCACAAACGTGGTTGGAGAAGGCAAGTAAAACAGGGCCAAGAAGGAAAATGTGGAATTATCCAAATGAAGACTGAGCGGAATTGCTACTATTTTTTAGCGCTCACTCTGTGCCTGTCTCCTTTTATTCTCCCAATCTCCTGGACACAGGAAATTTAACTTCACAGATGTGGCCACTGAGGTTCCAAAAGGGTCAGTCTCTTGATAAGTCCCCTTTCTCATCCACACGGGAGGAAGGGGACACCTATCTTCCACTCACATGGTTTCCAAAAGGAGGGAAGTTTCCTAGAAACCCTTAGCCTCCTGCCTCTCCATACAGAAGAGGTGATGTGACTTATCTGATGACTGAAGTGGAGGAAGGACAAGCCTGTGCAGCTCATTTCCACCCCTTAGCTTCCTCCCAAGAGCATGCGTCCTGCGCTGAGCTGATCACACATCCCACAGGGAGGGGGCCCACATGGGAGACCCAGCTGTTCCATAGTGCCTAGAGTGGGTGGGAATGTTTAATTCTGGAGTTCAATGTTAAGATACCTATTATTCCCGCTCATCCAAGTCCCATCCTTCAAGTCAGCTCTCCTCGGCACTTTAATCACCTTTCCTTTATTTCATTCCTTGTGCCTCTTTTTTAATTGCTATGCTCTTTTATTTGTTTATTCCACCTTTCTCTTCTCCCCTCTCCAAACCGTCAGGCCCTCTACTGTTGAAAGAAATAAATGTCTAAAGCAGGGGCTGAAAAAAATCATGAATAACGAGCATTTTCAACTGCATGTCATTATGTGTTAGCGTACGTGCGGAGGATACGGAAAAGGAGTTGACGTTTGAGATGTGGATTTACAGTGGTGGGAGTTGGTGCCTTGTCATCTCAGCACTGACTTATGTCTCTCAATTGATCATTTTGGTTTTGGAGACGTGTCTGTCAGCAGAATGCCAGCAGGACCAGGCAAGCCTGCCGTGCCCTGAGTAGAGGGTTTTACTGCTGGCATCATCGGTTTTCCCAAATATGCCTCCAGTGTTATACAGTTAAAGTTAACACGAGATTTATTCACAAGAAAAAGATTATTGGCAGTTCAGGACACCCACAATAGTCAACAGTGAAATAATGTTTGCTAAACAGCCATACTGCAAGTGTCTTAGTGTCAAAATATTTCAATATCATCAGAAAAAATAGACAAAATATTAAAAATCTCATAGCACCTGTTACCAAGAAATAATTTTGTCCCATCTTTTCGTATATTTTCCTATTTAATAGCTCCTAACCATTGCTCCTCTCTTTGAAATTCAAGTTTTGTTTTATCATAACTATTTTTAAGTATAGAAAAAGCCTAAGGCAATTTTCCCAATTGCTAGGAAAACAGCTCTCTTCCTTCCTGTCCTGGGGAAGCACATGGTCTAGCTGCAGAAACAACAATGGGTTAGTGACGGACCAGGTAGAACACTCTCAGGCTCCTGTGGGACTCAGTGTTTGTTTTTTGGGGTTTTTTTTGGTGAGGAAGACTGGCCCTGAGCTAACATCTGTTGCCAATCTTCCTCTTTTTGCTTGAGGAAGATTAGCCCTGAGCTAACATCTGTGCCAATCTTCCTCTATTTTGTATATGGGACACCACCATGGCATGGCTTGATGAGTAGTGTATAGGTCTGTGCTCAGGATCAGAACCCACGAACCCTGGGCTGCCAAAGTGGAGTGCGCAAAGTTAACCACTAGGTCACTGGGCCGGCCCCTGGGCCTCAGTTTTTTCATCTACAAATGAGTGACTTGGGCTGGTCTCTTAAGGTCTCTTTCAACTCAAAAATCCTGTGCTTCTAATTTTCAGTTGATTTAAATCACATTAATAATCTTTCAAAGCAGACCTAGAAGGTACCGGAATGAATTGTTGATTTTATTGAATATGGATTTTTAAAAATGGTTTAGGAGGAAGCTGTCTATGCTATATTAGACTTTGTATGTATTTTTTCATCACTGCCATTACAAGTATTTTACCCTTTTCCAAGACCACAACGAAGGAAAAAAAGTGACCAGTTGCATTTCAAATCCTTAGTTCTCTTGCCATGCCATGGTTGAAACATTAAGAGTAAATAAAATGGCAAAAAAGAATAATTAAAGGCATGAGAAAAGCACTAACAGTGCATACTTTAATTATATAAAAATTAATGTTGATTCCCTTTCATTTCCACTTAGTCCATGGAAGATGTGTTTATATTATGATGCATGGGGAAAAGTTGAACACCCATAAAAACAGACACAATCTTTGTATTACTCCATGTCCTGGACCCGTTCCATTGACAAGTGACGAAAATGGCAGTGTCTGCCACTAGGTAGACAGAAAAGCAGCAATTTCCTAACCAGTTTCCCTGCTTCCAGTCTGTCCCCATGCTCTATACTGTCCCGAGGATCTTTCTGAAACACAATCTGTCCATGCCTCCCCCTGCTTAAAATACACCCATGGATCCCCCGAGCATACGAAATAAAAACTAAATTCCTTAGAATGCTATCCTAACAATCCTGATCCCAGTTATCTACCCAAGAGAAATGAAAACATCCATCCACACAAAGGCTTGTACACACATATTCACGGCAGCACTGTTCCCAACAGCCAAAAAGTAGAAAAAACCCAAATGTCCATCACCTGGTGAATGGACAGACAACCTGTGGTACAGCAGTACAATGGAGCACTACTCAGCCATAATACGAATAATGCAACAACACAGATACATCTCAAGTGCATTATGTTGAGTGAAAGAGGCGAAATCCAAAAGGCTACTGACTGGATGATTCCCTTCATACAGCATTTTGAAAAAAGAAAAACTGTAGGGAAAGAAAATAGATAAGTGGTCTCAGAGGCCGGGAGTAGGGAAAGGGGTTGACTACAGAGGCTACAAGAGAATTTTGGGGTTATGAAATTCTATATCTTTATTGTGGTGAATAAACTGTATCTAGATGTCTTTGCACAAGTCAAAACTCAGACCTG